AGTGGAATTACTAGAACCAAATGTCTGTTTGTTATATATTTCCTTTTCAAACACACCCAAGGACTTCAATAACCGTCCAGGACCACAATATTTTTCTATTAAAAATAATATAAAAAAATATACTTCCATTTCAATATCTAAATCAAAGGATAGGAATAATTGGAATTTCAATGCATGTGAACTTACTATAACTTAATTAATGTTAATCGTTGTATTATAGATAAATTAGTTTGAATCCGTGCATACTGGGTTATGTGTGTTGTGTTTAATCATATTAATAAATATGTTTCATTAAATTTTGAGTCGTGTTGATGTGATTTGGTTGTTAACTTGATTTAGTTCTCCTTGTATTATAATTTAAAAGTTTTATATTTTTATTTTTTATAATCTTATAATGTGTTATCTTGTTATTTTATGACTTTATTCTATAATCTTATAGATTTATATTTTTATAATTTCATAAAATTATAAATTAAGGATGTACTTAATAAAAAAATGTCTTGATAAATAATAACTGTGTGAATAACTTGACATGTGAGTATTATTATTATTATTATACTATTGTATTTTTGTCTTCATCATTTACATCTTTCACACCCGATAACCCTATAATTGGACTTTTGTAAAAGATATTTTTCTTGTACTATGTCCAATCCACATTGCAGTTGTGATGATAAAATATGTAAGGTGCTTAGTGCCCAACTCGATAATCCGATTTATGGTTTTCAATTTGAATAAGAGGATAGTATTGTCTCTTTGAATTTTGAAAAAAGAAAAGAAAAGAAAAAAAGAAGAAGAGTAAGTTCAAAGATTGAGAAAATAACAACTAAAAGCAGAAAATAGATTTTATTAGTTTATATAGCTTTTAAAACCAAAAAACAAAATTATAGATTGAGGCCTGAATATTAAGGGATTTGTTTTTTCCAAAATAATCCTCTTATAAAGATTGTTTTTTAATTGGACCTTTTGAAATATTATTTTCTCAAATATATTGGAATATTATTTTTCTAAATATATCTATTTTATTTTTTATTTTTCTAGAATAAGAAGGAAAAATAAATAAAAAATTAAAATTATGAAAAAATAATATAAAATAATTAATGAAAAATATCAAATTGAAGTTTTAGTTATTTTAAAAGAAGGAATAAAATAAAAACTATTTTATAATTCCTTTTAATGTAATTTAAAATTAAATTTGTTATTTTATAAATATATATATATATATATATATATATATATATATATATAAAAAAAAAAAGAGAGAGAGAGAGAGAGAGAGAGAGAGAGAGAGAGAGAGAGTGAGTTGAGGAATCACACCAAGTTTTTACTTTGATAGGATGAATGTATAGAACTTTCACAGGTAAGAATCCTACAATTTAAAAAAGGTGAATATAAAAATCATAAATCTAGAGAGTAGAAATAAAGTTTAAAAAAGAAAGTTTAGAAAAATAGTAAATTTTAATAAAATGAACTTCAGATTTAAACATTTTATAATTAAAATAGTATAGTGTCATTTTTTTTAAAACACAGCTATTCTTAGACTATTTTTTAGATTTTTACTTGATATATGGAAGAGTTAGATAATCTGAGTCACTAAACTCTGAAAAAGTTGTACTTTTATATTTTCTGCGAGAATATTATGGAGTATTTTTAAACAATTATGAAAATTTTATTTTGTAGTTATATTATCCAGATTAATTAAAAATTAATTTTGGATTACACATTTCATACTGTAAATCATAACTTTTTTTCGTAAAATATTCGAATTATGTAATTCAATATTTTTTTACAAGATTCCCCATTACATTTTCGAAAGTGTATGAATTCATTTTCATCATTCCAATGTAAACAATTATGAAGGTCGCCCAAAGCTGGGGATATTGAAAACCCATTTTCGGCAAATGTTTTAAAGTGCGCCAGAAGCCCAACTCTAAAAGGAGATTTCTTTCTTCACTCCATATTTTTCTTTTAAACATTCCTAATTAGAAAATTTATATTTTATTGTTAAAAAATTACTTTTAGATTATAAAGTCCGAAACTAACTTTTAGTATAGAAATCCTTCCAGATTGAACAACAGAAAATCATCTTTTACTTTGTGTAAGAAATAGAGTTGTCAAAATGAGTCACAACCCGCGGTTCAATCCAGTCTACATGGGTTTGAGTCGGATTGGATTTGAAAAAATTGTATTTTTTTTATGCGGGTCAGATTTTAACCTGGCTCATGGGGTTGAACCCGTGGTGGGCCAGGTTGACCCACCAACCCACTTACCTAATTTTATTTTATTAAAATTTAATTTTAATTTTACAAAAAATATTTATTATTTTGTTTTTCTTGAAAAAATTATTTAAGTTTCTTATTTTCAAAATTAATTAAACACCCACGTTAGGAGTGAAATTTGGAAGTGAAATTTCTTTAGATTTGAATTATAGAAAGTTTGTAATTTTTTTTATTTAAAAAAATTGTAATTAAGTGAGTCAGTGAGCCAACCCGTTTACCTACCAACCCGTGATGGGTCAGGCTCGATTCGAATTTTTCTGACTCCTTAATAAATGAACCGGGTTGGGTTGACTCACTAAGTGACTAACCCATAGTGGGTCGGATCAGGTGACCCGTTTTGACAACTCTAGTAAGAAACTTCTTTTACTTCTTATTTTGTGATAAAATATTGTTTTTACAATACATAAAACGAAAGTCATGTTTTACTTTTTTACTATGCTTGAGAATTTTTTTTTTACTGTGTAATCTAAAATATTTTTTTATTATTGAATTGGGAAATTTAAAATTCATTTTTTCATAAAAAAAAAAAGCTTATGATTTGTAAAAAATTTCTTCAATATTGTGCAATCCAAAAATTATTTTCTATATGAGAAAAAACTTCCGAACTAAACAACCCCAAATCCATTTTCTATGAGAAAAAACATTTCCAAGCTAAGACATCATTTAGAGATTTTATTAAAAAAAAATAGAAGACCACACAAAATCCATGATAAAATTACATCTTACACGTAAAAAAAAATACCTATTATAAAAAAAACTCATAATTTCTTCTAAAAAATCATTCATACTTTGAACTATAGAAAAAATATATTTTTGAACATATTAAAAAATCAATCTTCTTATATTCCAAAAAAACATTTTAATTTGTAAAGATTTTTTTTTCAAAAATTTAGTATTAATTTTATTTGACCTACTCCTGCTCCTATTAAATTTTTTTATAATTTGAACCGACTCATCATATATTTTAATATATTTTAGTATTAAAATCTTCGTTCTCATTAAACGTATTTAAAAATATATTAAAAGCTTTTCATTGTATAATTTATAAGTTTTTCTGAATCGTTCAATTTGAAAATAAATAAATTACTTAATCTATAATCTTTATCTTCATAAAAGAAATTTTAAATTGTACGATATAAAACAATTTCTTCCTTGATTTTATTCATGATACAACGAAGGGGACGATAACAAGGGGCAGCAGCATCAAGGGGTCACGGTCACAGGGTTATATTGGTCTTTTGATAACACCATGGGTTGCACATGAAAAGTATAGGGGTGAAAACAAATAGGGTGTTGCTCCCTTCACCTCCACAGCCTTCTCCCTAAGTTAAAATTTTTTACTTTTATTATTTTATTATTTTAATATTTTAATATTTAAATATAAACTAATATAAATATACATTATTAAAATACATTAAAAAGATATTCAAAAATAATAAATCAAAATATTAAAATATCTAATAAAATAATAACAGAAACATAAAATTAAAACAAAGCTTAAACGGATGACATCCTTCAACGCATGTCAACATCCGTTTAGGCTTCGTTTTCATTTTACGTTTTAGGGTTAAAGGATTATTGGAAAGATTATTGGAAATTGGAAGGATTATTGGAAGGGTTTAGGGTTTAGGGTTTAAGATTATTGGAAGGATTATGACTACGTACCTGGAGAGGAACCACGACAAGCACACTACACCACGTACTGCACCGAAAGCAAGAGGAAGATTGCTTGATAATTCTTTTCACGATCACTGAGCTTTGCAGAAAAATATTTTACTCATACAAGGAACTACGTAGGTTATCAGTGAAATATGTTATAAATGAGTAAAATTAAAAAACAATAATTCTAAAAATAAAATTTTACTGAGGGGTAAAATAGTAAAGGAGAGGTGGAGGGAGAAGACTGTGGTGGTGGAGGGAGCAACACCGAAACAAATAACGCTGTAAAAGTTGCTCCCAGGTTGGGTCACAGAAAGCCCAAATGGAAGGCCTGCGGATTCGGGCCCAGTCTATCTGACCTTTCTATTAATGACAGCTTATTTTCACAATAATTAGTTTTAAACAGTAGATATCAATATGTATAGTGATATTTTGTAACTGTCTATTGTTACGTACTTTTTTGTAAACGCACTCTTAGTTATGTGACCTCATCCCAATATAAGACGTGGCTATCTAATTCATATTAAAAAGAGAAAAAAAAAATAGCAGTAGTTGATTTAATCTATAAAAACAAATATATATCTTAATCAATTTTCAAAATTACTCCTCGATAATATTTGTTTCTCTTTCTCGTTGATTTAATAAAAAATATTTCAGTCTAAATATAATTAACACAACAAAACTTATAGGTTGAGTTATTTTTAAAAAAAGAAAACATAAGTTCTAAACTGGGTTTGTTATAAATAAGAATAACATTTATTAAAAAGAATCGGCTTGGAAACCCTTTTCATAAAAGAAAAAAATTAGAAAATATTTTTAAATATTAAAATTTAGGTTGAAATTAAATTTTTAGAAGAATTTAAGGTAAGATAACATCTAAAAATTATTTAATATATAAATTAATTAGAATTTTTGAACAAGTTGACTAATTTTTTTCTTGTGTCAAAAATGTTATCCAAGAAATTTATTTAAACATTCTCTTAATCTATTAGTAAAATGAAAATGTGCATGTGGGTCACATACACATATATACAAATGATAAACGATAATTATTTATATGAATAAGCATTCAAGTATCTTCTACACACATACATAAGCAAAACGTCAAAAACTAGTACTAGAATTATGGAGTTCAATGACACATGAACCCAATAGTCATGGCTGAAACAAAAGGTAATTTAGAGGGCTAACTTTTCTAATTCTGCAATGGGTAGATTGAGCTCTGTTTCTCCAATGGTGTCACTGAGTGCATTGTGAGAAGTTGAAGAAAAGAAGGAGCAGCAATTGAAGTTCATGTCTGAAAAAGAGTAGGTGCAGATTGATTTCAGAGTTCCTGTGTCAAGATTGTAAGAAACAACAGATCCTGGAAGCTGCAAATATATGATTTGTGCTTGTTCACCAAAGGCAATGGGTGCAATCTTGAAAGGGTCCCAATCATAGAAGAAGACGTCACAAAAGTTTTGGAGTTTAGACATGAACACTTCAGGCTCAACACTATGGACTAAACTCCAAGGAAACGTTTTGTAATCCCAAAGATACAGGAACCCTTCATGCTCATGCTCGTTGAGAAGTTTCCAAATGTGGAAGCCATCAAAATCAGTGTAGCAATAGTAAATCCTGCCTCCTGATTCACACAAACGACGGCGAAAAGCCAATGTTGGTTGCCAAGACAAATCCTTGGAATAGTTTGGTAGTTCATATAGCTCACAATGGCGTTCTTGGACTTGATACACCAACAAGTGTCCACCAATTTCCCAATGAATTGACCCGTTTGAGTAAAGAGGAGGTGTGCCATGTTCTTGGAACTCAAATTCTGGCAAAGAAGGAGCAGTTATGTTGATGGGGTGGTGGCTCCTCCATTTGCCAGTGTCAGAAGAGAAAACATGAACTTTTAGTTGATTGGATTGGGAAGAACATGCTTCAACCACCACAACCTCAAACTGGCATCCATCAAAGGCTAATCCAACTCCGGTAACATGCTCTTGGATTCTAGTTTGAGGGATTGTGAACTTGTGCATGGTGAGGGGGTTGAACACATGATAACAGAACTGCTCCTCACTAAAACCTGACATGAGAATTAAACCATTGCTCGAAGCAAGGGTCTGCACAAAGTTTTCGGTGGAGAAGCAGAGCCAGTGGTTAAGGGAAGCTCCTTTTCCGCTTTCAATATCCATGAACACAAACTGAGATGACCCATTTTCAAATTGATAGTGGCAAACAAGACCAACACTAGTATCTACTGAGGTTGAGCCAACAGTTTTGTAACTTCCCTTTCTCGTAATACTCATTGATGCAAACAGCTGCTTCCCAACACAAGACACAAAAGATGAATCAGATCTGTGGGAACTTGGTTTTGGATAGTGGAGTTTGTTTTTCAAAAGGAAGAATTCTAGGAAGGAGGAATCACGTCAACGCCTTTCAAATCGGGTTGGCTTCATGACTTCGTACAATTCAGAAGCTTGAAAGAAACTTCTTGTGGCCTTCCTTGGAAACAGCTTTCTCAAAAGTTATGTGGAAACAAGCAAAGAAGTCTCCCTAGAAATGAACCCCAGCCAAGAAAAAGGCAAAATTAGACGAAGTTTTTTCTATGCCAACCTTATATTCATTACTAGGATATAAAGAATAGACACAAAAGATACAATATATTCATGAAATTAGAAAAACAGAGACAAAAAAACTAACCCAAAACCCAAAAATGAATCAGTATAGTTATGTCTACTCTCCTAGACCAAAGTAACAACAAGAACAATAGTAATAGTAATACTAACAAAATGAAGTAAACAGAAAACAATGAATAAACATGATATAGGGAAACATAATTCAATATACAAAGGATGATAACCGTAGCATAAAATGAAAACCCCAGTTGAACAAAGTAATCGAGTAGACTAAAGGGAGAACAATACCTTGACTTGCTGCCTAGAACGTGAAAAGGAGTGAGTTAAATTTCATTAGAATCAATAAAACATACGACAGAAGATCACTTCCTCTGTTTCGTTAAGCAGAGATAACAAAACAAGGACAAAAGGGCTTGGAGACACTCGACACGACTGAAAAAGAACAAGACAAGAGAATCATGAACAGAAATCTATTACTATTTGAGCTTTTCTCCGACTTGCCCCTTAAGTAATGTCTGTTTTTTTTTTTTTTTTTTTTTTTTGACTTCTTTGTCAACCCCGTTAATTGGTTCACCCTCTAAAACTTGCGCTGTAATAGAATTAATTAAAATATATTCCTTTTGGTCAGAAAGCAAAAGCAGTTTCTTGGGGAAGAAAATATCAGAGTTACGTTGGAAATGATTATCTAATTAAAAGAAAAATGAGAACTTTGGAATGGCTTTGAATTTAAAAGCTGAACCCTTTTTATTTTAACCCTTGTTCTGATTCGGATGTAAGAAGCACGAAAGAGAAACAATCACATACCTCACAAGTTCAAGTTTTTGTGTTAATCTTCCGACATCGATCTCCAAAAATTTCGTAAAGGAGATTTTGAGGTTCATGAGAAGTTACAACCTCCTTTTAATAAAGTAATTTCAAAGATATATTTTAATGAGTGTGAAAACAACATTTGAGTAGCCCTTTGTGAATTTAATAAGTTAACTAAATTTAATGTAATGTAATGTAAGTAATTTATGTTGAATCTCAGAAAAATAAAATTATGGAAATGTATTTATTATTAAACATTATTATCACTAAAAGAACCATTAAAGAAAAGAATTTATTTGACAATAAATTAATAATTGTAAAACTAAACAAAATAATTATAAAACAAAGTGTAATAAATAAATTGAAACAAAATAATGAAAAATAACTAATTTTTTTTATTTTTTATTTTTATAATTATAAAACAAAATAATGATAAATAATCTGAAACAAAATAATAAAAAATTAAATAGTTACAATTTATTAAATAAAGAAAACTAATACTTTAAATAATTTAAAACAAGCATTAATTTATAATAATTACGAGAAATTAAATAAAACTACTAAAGTAAATAAAAATATTAAATTCTAAAACGTTCAATTAAATTGAATCCAATAACTACAAATAAATGAAGATGTTTAGGAGTATTTGAATGTCTACAAATAAAAATAAAAATGAAGAAAAAAATATATAATTAAATTAAGTTAAAAATGAGAAAAATTGAATGCATGTGAAACTAAAATTATAATGTTAACCAAAAAGAAAATGTAACATCAAATAAAAGAACAAACAAATGAATTAGATGTTAATTATAGAATGATTGCAACATAAAGAAGTGCATGACATTGGTACAAAAGTGATGTATGTTTATCGGAAAACTATGAGGGAATAAAATAAAGATTTAATTGCTCGGGTGATCTCCATTCGTAGGGTATTGTATTTACTTACTTCTTGCTTTAAAAAAAATGTCATCTTCGTACACAATTCTCCTAATCTACATCAATCAAGTTCATTCTTTTAATTTTTCAAAAACAACATTAATTGTGTGGTATTGTGACAAAATGCATTTGTTATAGGTAAAAATGTATAAATATATTGTATAACGGTGTTCTTTGAGAATGGCGAAAGATTATAATAGATCACAACCTCAACCTCCTATATAGACGTCAATTGTCCCAACTCCAACCCCAACTCTTTCCTTGAAAAGTCCACAAATTAACAACAATTGGGAAATGACGCTAATGTTGCAAATAATTTTAGATCCTCAAACACATCATATTCTTTTAGCTATAAAATATACTGTGACAGAGAACGTAAATTTGTAAAATAGAAAAAGTGGGAGAGAATGATGACAATCAAGCTCAAGAGTTGCATCACCAGACAAGTATGATCAAAGTACAAAATGGACTAATGAATCAAGTAGGTATACTTACTTTAATGAAATTAAGTAGCTAGGTAGACTCTCTCCTTTTGGTCGTTCAAGAGCTGCTACTATTGCTGGCATGTTTTATTTTTCAAGTAAATCTCAACCTCTCTTTCCTAGAGCGAACTCGCTTGGTGATTTTAAACAGATTGACAATAATCTTTTTGGCAAATTGACTTTTCATACTAGAGGATCTGCGAAATACTGTAAAATCGCTTCTCTTCTTCGTTATAGGAATCCTCAATTCATAAGATTATTGTTTTTTCTAAACCCTAATCCCCAATTCAACACATACGCATTCGCTGTCAAAGAAAAATTGATTTTCAACTCTGACTTGGTTATCAATGAAATCTCCAATTTTTCTTCTCTTCTTCTATGTTCGAAACCCTATTGCCCTCGTCTAATATACTAGGCTTTGTTTCCAAGTCTCTATTTATTTATAAAAAACCGACCAAAAGCATTGTTACAAAAACAATTCCTTGAAATTAATTATAATAAAATAAATTGATTAGAGCAATTCAGTTTTTTTTTTCGATCCATATAATATATCATATTTAATTATTGAAATTTTGTTGGTCTCTAATGTAGTTAAATTGACTTGTAATAATTAAGTTGATTGAGTCACAATCTTGATAAGTTGACTTATTGAATTATGAGGGTTTCTCCCTGCAGCTTACCTATATGAGATTGCACCTCCAACTTTTATGAATTTTCCTACTTTATCCCTGTCAGAATTTGTACAGATTTTTCAGAAAGAATTTTTGAGTGCTTAATACAATCATTTATTTCCAAATAAACCCTACACCACCCTTCCTTCCTCTTATTTTGGTTGCCGCATTTCAGAGAGTTTCTCCTTATACTTCAAAGCTCTCCGCATTTCATTCTCATTTGCATCCTACCTTCCGAATTCTTCCTCAAACTGCATGAAATACACTTTCACCGCCAAACTTATAATTATAAAATATATCAAATACCGCATTTGAAAATAAGATACGATCTTAAAGAACCATTAACTTTCAAAACATGATTATCTGCCGACAATCTTTCTATGTAAATTATGATTATCAACAATAACCACTGCGTAAAACATGATCGGCCTAAATACTGAATAAAAAAACAAAAATTTATTCAAAACTAAATAAAACTTAAAATAATTAAAACGTATAAAACATTAAAAACTTAATAATAAATAAAAAAATTTAATAACAAAAAATTAACTACTACATAAAAATTAGCATCTACAAAATTAATTAATACATCATAAATAACAAAAAAATATTAAAAACGAAATAATAAAAAAATAACAACATATTTATTAACACATAAATATTACAAATTAAATAATGTATATAAAACAATAATATATTATAAACAAATAAAAAACGTAAAAGTATTAAACTAATAAAAAAAAATATATATATATATATATATATATATATATATATAAAAATATATATATATAAAACATAATAAGTATTAAATAAACGAAAAAAACATAAAACAATGAAAACCGTGTTTGAAATACATTAAAAATATATTGAAGTGCACCCCTTTTAACCGAACTTCGAAATTCGGTTGAGGACTGTCGAACTTCAAAATGTAATAAGTTCTAGTCGGCGTTCCAACAACGACACTCCTTTAAGTGCAGTTTCAACGTCGGTTAAAGGTATTTAAGCTATCAACTGCTAACCTCAACTATTTTTCACCACACGAATGTCTTGCACCATCTTTCTCCTCCACGAACCACTACCAATGTCCAAATAATTACACACTAAAACACTGTATCACCATAGCACAACTATATAAGCCAAGCTCTTACACAAACAAAGAACAACTCAACAATAAACAAATGATTATTAAACCATAATTGAAGAGTTTAATAAATGAAGGGTAAATATGTCAAATGGGAGGTGCATGATGATATTAGTGAGTTACAGGGAGAAAGGTTGTTGAATTATTGGTCATCCACATCTTGAGTGGGCCACACAAGAAATGGACTTCTTAGAAGAGTGAAGGGGTGTTGCTCCCTCCACCACCACCCTATACTTCCTCCACTTCCCCACATTATTTTAAATACAATTATATCCTTAAGTTAAAAAGATTTTTACTTTTATCCTATTTTAAATAATTTGAAACTCTAATTTTACTTTTCCAGCACCCACCCACGGAACTCTCTTCCCCTTTTCCCATTTTCGTTTCACCTCCCGCACTTCCATTCCTTTTTCTTCCCAGTTTTTTTTTTTGGTTTGAAAGCTTCCATTGGCGCCGTGGTCTGAAGGAGCGTCGCCGTCATGGTGTGGAGGAACATCGAGGAGCGTCCAGAGCATCAACCAACGTGAGAAAGTATACATCAACGGAGGTGACATCCTTCGACGGATGTCCCCTAATAAAACAAACTCTAAAATAAAAAAGTAACCTTGGAGGTGACATCTTCAACGGATGTCAACATCCGTTTAAGGTAAAACGGATGTTGACATCCGTTGAAGGTAAAACGGATGTTGACATCCGTTGAAGG